AGCAGGAATTTACTCCTTTTTACTTCTATTTGTTGTGAGTTTAATGTTTGTTAATTAACAATACACTGAATACATTATGGCTACAAATATGAGCAGGAAATACATTCTGATTTCAGGTTTTACAGAAATCAGGAGGAACCACCATTATAACAAATATTCATTATATTTCTCTCTTTTCTTCAAAAGCATAGAGGCTGTAATCAACAGTTGTATCACAATTTAATTACCTTGTTATCTGAGGACATGAAAGTTGTTCATTTATTAATATACTACGTCAAGTAAATTACGCTTAAAACAACCTTTAACTTTTCCCTTTATATGTGCAATGTTCCATAAATCATATCTGTATATACAATTATGTATAAAGTGTACATATAACTATTATTTTTCTATTTTATTATATAAAATATTAGATATTTATTTAAAGGTCCAGTGTGTAACATTTAGGAGGATTTACTGGCAGAAATGGAATATAATCATTCAAGGATGTTGAAGTGTATAATCACCTGAAAATGAGAATGAGACGTTTTTATCTATAGAGAGAGGTTCGCCTTCCATGAGACAAACCAAACACTGGCTCAAAACAGGATTTTCGCAGCCACCGTAGTTTCACACACTTCGTAGTCCGTTCTCCTCTCCAGGTCATTAAATACAGGCGCGAGTGGTGTCCAGTTAGTTGCAATCTACAACTTCAATGCTAGATGATACTAAATCCTACAGACTGGTCCTTTAAAACAACCTTTAGCTTTCTCGAGACAACAACGTCGTTATTTCAACTATATGGCAGCTTTTGGCTTCCATACAGAGCATCATGATGGATTATGGTATGTATATTTCAGATGTTTAAATGGGGTTGTTGTGGTCCCAAACAGAAACAGAAGGTTTGAACACTGTGTGTGTACAATTCAAGCTTTCTGGATCGACATGCTGTTCAGAAACATCATCTCCAGACCTGTAAAGTGTATGAATGTAGAGATCTTAGTGAGTGTGTGTGAATGGAGCTCAGTGTGTGGGATCTAATCGCTGCGCCTGTCAGTCGGTTTCGGGGAAACATAATGACTCATCAAGCTGTGAAAAAGAGAGAGTTTTCTTTCCAAAATGACAAATCCAGCTTTCCAAAGAAGTGACACCTTCTGTTAGGGAAATGAGCGCTGACACGACAGCTCAGGAAGTGGAATACTAATGAAGCTGTGAGCCGACCTCACATCTGTGCCCACACAACAGAACAATTAATGACACCAAATCCTGCTTCATTAAAGAGTGACGAGTAATCTTCCACCTTTACTGACCTCCATCAGCCAGCAGTCAGACCTGCAGCAACATTACAGATAAATCTGATGGTGGAACCGATGGCAGTATGTGAATAATGGACGGAGCTTCTGAGTCTGTGGAGTGAAGCCAACGTGGAAGTGTCTTAAAAATCCTTTATTCTATGTAATGGCCAGCAGGGGGCAGCTCCATTGGCTACAAAAACAATAGTATTGAGTCTTATGGAGAAATTACCCAACTTCTCATTTGATTTATTAGAACCAATGGGTGACGTCATTATAGGTTCACACATAGTTTTAATGCATACACTGCCCGTCTTGTTCACATGATCAACTCTGATGAAACGTTCAGTTGTACTCAGTTTGGATCAGGTCATTGTTATCCTTAGTTAAAGCTCATTTATGTTGGGGAGGTTTTCACAGTCTGTTTCGGACTGGGTCCAAAGACCAGGAAAGACCTCTCACTAGACTGTTTGGCTGCTAGTCAGTGCTGGGCAGGTAACTTTTGGCTTTAACACATATTGTTTGATGGAAACACTGAGACTGAACCAAACAACCAAATCAAAACCAAAACTTAACTTAAAGTGGCGAAAAAGCTCTTGAAAGCTGCAAAGTTGGTGATGATTCTCTGTAGGTTTACAACTACCAGAGACACCTTTGATGTTACACATCAATCATTACATTCACTCTTATTAGTGCCCAAATATGTTATATTAATATATATATATACATAATAATATATATATCAGTATGGGGCTCAAAATCCCATATTAGTCTGGCACTAGTTCTTCATATAAAACACTACAGTGCAGCTTTAAACACAAAATATGCCTGAGAGATAAAAGTAACTTTCAGATAATTTTTGTTACTTATTGTCAAACACATGTATGCTACGATACCTCTCAAGGTCAGATATATCCTCCTCATTACTTTGACAACCACATCAACCCCCACATGGTCATTTAATGGTGCCAAACAGTAAAAACGTCACCTATCACCCCTTTTAGGAAATATCCAGTGAAATAATGACTCTAAGATAACAGTTATTTTTGAGCAAAAAGCATAAATAGCCTTTCTGAATGACGCCCAGCGGGCTGATAAGCTTCCTGCTGGCCCTCAGGCGAGGCCTCCCGGCAGCCGGCTCTCATTACCGCCTCGCTCAGGTTAAGCCGTGGATCCACCTCTGCCTCTCCTCCCAATTACCTCTCCATCGAACACTGGCAAGCCAAGAAAAGGAGGCCAGGCCACAGGCTGACACGCTGTCTGGCTGCACCGAGCCTGTAATCACACCAGAGCAGAGAAGAAGCCAAGTTTCCTTTTCTCACAGGTTGTGTAAAGACCCGCTGAGTTCTGGGTTTGATTTGTAGGCATCTGGAGGACATTCATTAACAGCTGCAGCAGCACACGTTCACTGGCAGCAGACTGTATGTGTGGTGTTTGTCAATTAGGTGATACGTTTTATTTTAATATGTAACATTTCTGCATTAAAATGTCTATAAACTCTACAGCTATGTTCTCTATGTAGTTGAGTTCTTACATTATCCCAAATGTTTCCACAAAGTTCAAACTCAGAGCAATCTTTCTTTTATTCAGGTAACGCTGCGTTTCACCGGTCGCCTGTCGATGGCGTCATATCCCCTTTGTGCCTGCGTCAGCGTTGTGGTTGTCTGCCAGAAGCTGTCATACATTGACTGTTGATCCAGTCTGAAGCCACATTGTTACCATCCACTGTTTAGATCTTGGTGCTTTTTAACTCTAGATTTGAACCGGATGAAGGATTTTAGTCATCGGACGTCTGGATCTTAAGTTATCAGAGAAACAAGCTGAGCTAACGTTAGCAGCAGCTCGGCTCGCAGCCCCTCCGGGACGTCCTTTGTCTGTCCAACAGCGTGGGAGAAGCAGTGGTTGTTAAGGTGGAACTGCTTTATTCAGTGTGTTTAAGGTGGAACTGCTTTATTCAGTGTGTTTAGTGGTTTTAATCAGCGGGTCTGTTTGTGTTGGAGAGGAGGAGACCTCTGTGGATCATTGGGCTCCCGGTAGAAACCTCCTGAACCATGAACACTGAAGGAATCCTAACCGGGAGAAGCTGACTGCAATGACGCCAATGGTGGTGAAGACAACAACTCCCATGATCCCACGCTGCTTCACCACCTCATCACACTTTATACTTTCTCATTGTTTTGATGTGAGAGACCCCCTAGTGGCAGAAAGTGCACACGTTTAAATCAGATTTTCAATGAGCACAGATGAATGTGAAAACATCCTTTAAGTGTCAAACTCTGCACATACATCATTCTGCACAGTGCAAACATCCAACTGTAGGAACAAGAACAAAAACTGATCTTTGACTTGAAGGGGATTAAAACACAAAGATACAAAAATGATATCAGTTTTCTCAGCTCACTTTCAGAAGGAAGGTACTGAACTCCTCTTAATCTGTCTGATTTTGTCTGTGATTAATTAACCTGCTCACTGACCCATGCTGTATTCAGCTACTTGACAAACCTTTTTCAACACCTTCCACTTCCAGTATTTGTGCTAAGCTAGGCTAAACATGTCCTGGATCTGTCTCTGCAGTGGACACACAGATGAAACTGATATCCGTCTGACTCCGGGGGAAAGATGTTAAACAAACATTTACCTCCCAGATGTCTGAATATGTTTGAATCACACCCACGCCTCCGCGCTGTGTTTGTATGATTGCAGCTCTGAGTTCAGCTGAGCAGTCGAGGCTGTCGGTGGAGCTGCTCTGCGGCTCGCTCAGCGTCATCAGCGATGCGGCAGGCAGTCAGCAGGTCTGTCAATCAAACACAGTCACCGGGGAGCTCCACCTGTGTGCTCACAGACAGGCAGGGAGCAGCATGCAGATTAAACAAACAGCCCCCTCCCTCCACTGCCTGCTGCACCGGCGGAGATATGAATTATTCACACACACAAACACACACTGTCAAATCCCCCACTACAAGTCCTGTGTTCAAAACCTTAAAAGTATAAAATCAGCAACATTTACTGCAGTGAAATCAGTCTGTCAGTGTTTTACTGTTATATCTGATGTCTTTGGATTCATTTTACTGCTGCAGATGTTTAAGATTGAGCTACTTTATATACTGTTGGGCAGTTTAATGCATTATATTATATAAGATCATCGTATGTTTGTAGCATGAATGTATGTGAGAACCACGTATGTATAAAAAGTCAACTTTTCATGAGCTCAGAAAAACAGCCCTGAATTAAATAACTGATGTATAATTGTATCTCAAGCGACAATTGTTGACTTTTTTTCCAATAATTTTGTGATTGGGATGATTAATGAGAATGTACCCATAGATATAGACAGCAAGGTTTTTATAGGTAACTAAAACGAAACTAAAACAAAGTAAGAAATAACATTTTAGTTGACTTTAGAACAAAATCAAACTAATAAAATGTTCAGTAAATGTCTTTAGTTACAGAACAAACATGAGTTGTGCTTATTGAGGCTGGATGTCTGCATGGCACTAAACTGAAACTAATGAAAACTAAACCGAAACTAAACATTTTTAAATAATAACTAAGCTGAAACGAGCAAACCTGCTCTGCAAACTGACTGAAATGAAAACAGAAATGAATAAAACTGAAACCTAATGAAAAATATAAACGTGTAATAACTGACAGACAGCCATAATAATACTTACACCTCTGACAATGTAGTTAATGCGCTTTTAATCTGAAAGCTTTAGCAGCAAAGCCACCACCGGAAGACTTTTATTCTGAAGGTCGTAGCCGCTGTTGGGACTTTAGCTCACAGAGCTAACGGCGCTAACAGCTACTCCCGTTAGGTGAGTCAAAGTGCTGCAAACTCCACAGTCATGTCGCGTTTAAAGTCTCTAACCTGTAGACAACAACTGGACTGGTGAATAATCACACTTTGATAAAGTACGAGAGAGAAATGGAAGTCTGAGAGGAGACCTCGCTGTCAGCTAACGTTAGCCACCTAGCGTTAGCGCTCGGTTGCCAGACAACGGAGGAGAAGCCAAACAGCCAGTGCTCGCAGCTAGCAGGCGGTTAGCCACATTAAAGCTAAAGGACCGGTCGGTGAAGAGGTCGTTGACCGATGGCGGAGGACGGCCGGCGGGGAGAGGAGGACGAGCGCGGCCCCGGAGCAGCTCACCAGGTGTTCGTGGTGATGGAGGGTCTGCTGGAGAAACTGAAGGTGTTGAACTACGAGGAGGAAGTTCTGTCCAAACACAACATGAAGCACCTGTCCAGGTGAGGAGGAGCGGTGACATCATCATATATAATATATAATGTTTAATAAACACAGTTGTTAACTAATGAGTGAAACCTTGTAATAGTGATGGTGTTTTATTACTGCTGGCATTGTAATCTGTGTGTGGACTCCTCTCATTACATTAATCAATATTATGGATTGATATTAATGTACAGAATGTTTTATTGAAGGTAAATGTGACAGACTGCATTATAGTGAAGTTCTGCAGAGATAACCTGGACTATAAATCATCAATAATGTGGTTAATGACAGTGTGTGTGTTCGAGCTGTTCATGCAGCATTAAAGGATTATAACTTTTATTATGTTATGCAATCCTTTGTTGTATATAATGACAGATTAATTACCTTTTCTATATAGTTATTATTAAAACAACTATACTAATAATTACTATAATTTACAGTAATTGTCACCTTATTCTTGCTGTTGTTGTTTTGAAATGTGAGCTTCTGTAACAGCTTAACTTCCTCTCAAGGTTTTTAATAAAGTTATGGATCAATCTATCTATAATATCTATAATATATATATCTCTATAATAATGTTGACTGTTATAATGCAGCACAGAGGTTAAAGTCGATGGAGATGACACCAATCAGTAATGAGTAATAAAGCGACAGAGAGCGACCTCCTCCTGACGATCTGTTTCCCTCCTTACAGACATTACTTTGTGTCCAGTCCGTATCTGGCGTTCAACCCGGGCGAGCAGTTCTACATGTTCACCATCATCGCGGCGTGGCTCATCAACACGGCGGGGAGGCCGTTCACGGAGCCTCAGGAGTACGACGAACCCAACGCCACCGTGTCCAACGTCCTGGCCGAGCTCCGGGCCTTCGTGAGTGACGCTCAGTCCCTGTGTGCTGTCCTCAGAGTGTCTGCAGTTAAAGTCCACTGTCCCTCTCATCGACTCTACAGCGCAGGGATTCACCAGAAAGATCAATAAACTGCTATTTCCTCGGTTTATTTATGTTGGCGAGAACCATTTTCCTTCATAAGACCATTTACTCTTTTATAGGTTTGAGTTATTTGTTTTGATTTCTCTCATAAACATAAAAACTTCACCACAGTGAATCCACAATAGTAACGGAGGGGAGGTACAGAGCGAACACACACTCCTTCAGACAAACTACACTTGGTTTTCAGTCTCGTGCAACTTTGATGGCTCCTGCAGACGCTCTGTAACTCGATGAATAGTGAATGAAACAGATGCCTTTATTAGCTGCTGTCGTACAGTAAGAACCCAGATGTTTAGGGGGCTCATGTGACTCTTGTCTGTGTCCGTCAGGGTGTTAAAGTCGACTTCCCGCCCTCCAAACTGAAGTCCGGTTCGGGCGAACACGTCTGCTTCGTGTTGGACCGACTGGCTGAAGAGGCTCTGAGGAGGAGGGGCTTCTCCTTCAGAAGGTACTCAATCATTCCTCCTCCACTCACCTCTCTGGAGCAGTCTCTCTCCTGTCTCAGCTCCCATTGGTTTTCATCTTAGTGTCTCTGCTGCTCGTCACCTGGGTTCATCCTCAGCTCTGGAAAGTTTACATTGGGACATTTTCACGTCTGATATTTAGCTGTAAAGATGAATCTTAGAGAGACACTGTGGAGTTTAACGCATCGTTTACATCCCTCGAGTTCATTTCCTCCCCAATAAAAGTGTTTTAAATTCAGCGTTGTTAACACCCGTGTTTACTGGCTTGCAGTCTTCTTCTTCCCTGGCTTTGCAGCATATCTTTGCACATTACCGCCACCTGTAGTTCACTGAGATAGTGTGACACCATTTGCTGGTAGCGATTCCCACACTAATCGTGAATCATATCACAGTAATAAATAATAATGTCAATATGATGTTTGTAAATGTACAAGATAACAAGCCCTCGTAGAAAAAGCTCCGTAACACTACTAGAGGTCAGAAACTCCACAGGGAGCCTTTAATCTACAGGGTCTCATAATGAAGACAGCAGGGGCATGCAGAGTGAGAGTCATCAACAGTCAATAGGGCTGAGTACTTATCGTTCAGGAAGTGGCATCAAAGTCAAGGTTTCGGTATCTAAAGGTTTTGATTGATTCCCTGCACTAAGTTAATTAGTTTGCACTCTTCATCGTGTCCATTCTAAGAGAAACTGATTGTGTTCTTGTCTTTTGACTCCCTGTCCTTTTTCTCTCCTTCCTCCAGACCAAATTATCCAACAGAAACCGCAGAAGAAGAGTCCGTGATAGAGGACGACGCAGAGCTCACCCTCAGCAAAGTAGAGGAGGAGATGATCGTAGGTGTCCCGACTTCCTGTAATGTTTGTTTTAATGCTGAAAACTGTTTGTAAAGAATAAAGTTCATTCACATGTCTGTGTGTGTGTGTGTGTGTGTCTGTGTGTATGTGTCTGTGTGTGTGTGTGTGTGTGTGTGTGTGTGTGTGTGTGTGTGTGTGTGTGTGTGTGTGTGTGTGTGTGTGTGTGTGTGTGTGTGTGTGTGTGATCACAGGAGGAGCCTGATGATGAGGAGGAGAACGTGATGGACCTGGAGGCTCTGAAGTTACGAACCACTCACACTGTGAGTCCACCTGGAAATATGATGCATTTAAAGCTCCAGGGTGAAACATTGAGGAGGACCTGTCCTCAGAATGGGAATATAATATTCATACGATTGTTACCTGAAATAGGATTCGGAACTCCTTCACGTCTGTTACTGTAATTCTGCAGCACTTCATGATGATTGTTGGTTCTCTGACAGGAAGCAGAACCGTCCTCCAAACCAGACGAGATTCTGGAGTCAACGGTTGATGCAGCCGAGTGGAACCTGGAGGTGGAGAGAGTCCTGCCACAACTCAAAGTCACCATCAGGACAGACAACAAGGTACACACTCACCTGAGCACCGCCTGATTCAGATCAGATTCAGTCAGTTTGTAGATCCTGATATGTGGACAGCTTTGTTTTTTTTAAAAAGCGGAGTTGGAAAAGTGTTAATAAGATCTGCAGGGTTGTTGTGTAAAGATCGGTTATATTAAAATGTAATTTATTAAACGTATTAATATGTAATTTCTGCTACTAGGACGTCAGAAAGTTAGATGAGGTGGTGAAGCAGTGTGGGATCATGGGAGTTGTTGTCTTCACCACCATTGGCGTCATTGCAGTCAGCTTCTCCCGGTTAGGATTCCTTCAGTGTTCATGGTTCAGGAGGTTTCTACCGGGAGCCCAATGATCCACAGAGGTCTCCTCCTCTCCAACACAAACAGACCCGCTGATTAAAACCACTAAACACACTGAATAAAGCAGTTCCACCTTAAACACACTGAATAAAGCAGTTCCACCTTAAACACACTGAATAAAGCAGTTCCACCTTAACAATCACTGCTTCTCCCACGCTGTTGGACAGACAAAGGACGTCCCGGAGGGGCTGCGAGCCGAGCTGCTGCTAACGTTAGCTCAGCTTGTTTCTCTGATAACTTAAGATCCAGACGTCCGATGACTAAAATCCTTCATCCGGTTCAAATCTAGAGTTAAAAAGCACCAAGATCTAAACAGTGGATGGTAACAATGTGGCTTCAGACTGGATCAACAGTCAATGTATGACAGCTTCTGGCAGACAACCACAACGCTGACGCAGGCACAAAGGGGATATGACACCTTTGATTATAGATTATTGATTGATCAACTACATATAGAACATAGCTCTACAGTTTGTACTGTTTAATGGGAAATGTTACAGATTTCAGCTTAAAGGAGTTTCTGTTATTCTCTGACTGTGCCAGTCGTCTGTGTCTCGTCTCCAATATATTCAGTGTCCAGGGTGAAGAGAGGAGCAGAGACAGGATGTGAACAAACTGTTACCAAGCAGCTCAATCTGAGCTTCATATCAGAGCGGTGGTTAAACGTCACAGGTGTGATTCCCTCAGCAGCAGCTCTGTGTGTCTTCATAATGAGGAAGCCGACACTGAACCCGGTCCTCATTGTTTACTGTAACTGTGTGTAACGGACTGCATGAGTGAGTCAGACATCCAGTTGTTTCTGGTTATGTCGGAGTTTCTTTCCTGTAAATCAAGTCTGCTGTTTTACTGCAGCTTCAATTCCTCAGGGGAGTGAAAAGCAAAGCACTCTGGGTCGTTGCTCCGCATTTACATTCGGCGGCGAGGGAGCTCATTCGATGAAAAAAGTCAATTTCAATTTAAAGTCTGAGCAGGTGTGAGGTGGAAGTGAAGCTGTAGCTAACTGAGGGGGGAGACGGAGACTCTTGTGAGGATGAGAAGCAGCAGGCAGGTGTGTTTGTGCTGACTTTAATGTCTCACTGGTCCCTGAAGGCAACAGTCTGACATCTGCCCGTTGATTTTATCACAAAGCAGAATGTGTTTATAAATCAGCTGTGATTAGGAAAACACGATAAACTGAAAGTAAATATGTAACTACTGTATCACTGCAGATAAATCTGCTCTTCCACTTACTGTGTGATATATATACAGTATGTAATTACTGCTCGTCTTAGTCAACATAACAGAATAAACACCATTACTACCATTACTATACTGCCTGTTAAAGGATGAATGACTCTGTAGCTCCTGTGGCACATTATTGTTAACATAGTCCAAGAGTCTATTTTTATATTTTATTTATGAATATTTTAATATTCTTTTCACATTCCAGTTCAAATGTCTGAATATTCTTCAGAATTGAAAGCTCATTGCTCTTTGAAAAGGTGGTTTTGCATGTTTATGCTAATCATTATATCGGTGTCATAAAGGGTCTTCAACTGCAGTCAACCAGTCGTCTCCAGTCCGACTCTACGTACTGCGTCTACAGTACGTTGCCACGATAATGAATTCTTGCACTTGGAGATTTTCTTTTTCACATGTAGGTAATATATAGATATTGTTACTTTCAGGACAAAATATATTTATACACCGCAGCAACCCAGACTATCACCGATGAAAATGATGTGTTCATAGTCAGATCGACATTATACCAGATAACACTACAGTTTCAATGTCTGTATCTGTAGAATATATCAGAGACATGAAGAAACTCAACTGTATCTGTTGGAGAATCTCTCTGTGGACACAATCCATTCATACGTTAACAGGGCTGTTATTGGAAGGTGTAGAAAGATCGGACTGACAGCAGCAGGACCGCTGCCTGTCTCACTGCTCAGGCATCGTGTGGACCAACTGTTAACAACAGGCTAAAACAAAGTGCAGCAGGCTAAACAACACAATTAACACTAAAACTGAACTAAACACGGCAAAACCAAAAGCTTAAAGTCCTTTTATGGAGAGTCAGTAACGTTATCGATCTGTTATTGAGCCCAATCAGCTAGCTCTCGTTAAGAAAGCGCTCCTACTCTCCTAAATCTCCAAAATGTATTATTGTTTAGTTCTGTTATTTGTCAAGGGGTGTTCAAACCTTTGCAGTATTGATAGCAACGCAGTGATTACGGGTGAGTCCTCCACTACCAGGGCAACCTCAACCAAACACTATATTTCAGGTCCGAGAGGGCAACTCTGGACAGGGTCTGCTTTTACAGGTTGACGAGGCAGGGATGCAAATCAAGAGCTCTGCTACAGTTAACAGCTGTAGATAATGGTCTATAGTTCATCTCCACCACTCAACAGGATCAGGTTTCAACCAGACGGCACTACAATCAGTCCATTATTGTGTCATCCTGATGATCCATACTGTCCTTTCACTACATTGATGGACTGTTGCCTGGCTGTCTCTCTCTGTTGAGTTCAGTTGTGTGTGACTGGTCTCCGGTCTGTGTGTCGGTCTGCAGGACTGGAGGATCCACGTGGACCAGATGCATCAACACAGAGACGGGATCAAGTCGTCGCTCAAAGAGGCCAAGGTGCGTTCACTGACCTGGTTCAGTAATAAGAGCAGTGATTATGGTTTAACTGATGTCAATCTGTGTGTGTTTGGCTCCACCTGCTGTTTCTTATTTTAATTACAGAGGACAAAATGGTTCAAAACAAGCTCCACCTCAACCAACTGCAGCAGTAAAACCCTGCTTTAACATTAATGCATGAGTTATAGTAATCTAATAATATCATATACTGTATAATTGTAGCTATAAATAATTGTCTGCATTTTTCGTTTAATACTTTAAGTACATTCTCCTGAATACACTCAAACCTTTTCAATTCAGGACTTTTACTTATAACAGAGTTTTTTTGTTTGGGACAGGAATTGTTGAAGCTGTTTATACATTGTCTTATTTTAATACCTTGTATATTTTTTGTCATTTTAAAATGTTACTAGACGTCATTGTAAATGAGAGATAAAATTGACTTTATTGATCCCACACTGGGGAAATTCACTCACTACAGCAGCTCCAGATACAGAACAACAGATACATGTTAAATAGAAAAATGAAATAGAAAAATTAGAATAAGAGTTGTTTGTACACTATATATAGCTTTTTATATACAGCTGTGATATGATGATGATAAGAAACATTGCACGGGTTACAGCAGGAGGTAATGGCAAGGTGTAAATATGAATAATTGCACAGGACAATAAAATATATATACAGTATATATTAGAGTAATATAGAATAGAATATATTAGATTATGAATATACAGTACAGGTCTAATAATAATAATGTGCATGTAGGAAAGTGCAGGATCTGAAAACTTATTGCTGAGCTGGTGTTTTCATAAACTCTGGATTATGTTACAGCGGGCTTCCTGTCAATCACCTGACAGATCATGTCTTCAGTCTCTTCCCAGAAATAAGTCCTCAGAAACTTGTTTTTACTCAGGAACACTTTTGTCATCTGAAGTACAGTAGAAATGTACTCATAGAAAGAGGTTTGTGGATTGAAATTCTCGTCCCTGTGCAGAGCTACCTGGACAAACTGCAGGAGGACATCGGTAAGACTCTTGAGAAGGTGAGCAGCAGAGAGAAATACATCAACAACCAGCTGGAGCATCTGATCCAGGAGTACCGCAGCGCTCAGGCCAAACTCAGCGAGGTAAAGTCACACCTGCAACTCAAAACTCACTGATAACTTCCTGCTGATGGATGTAAGGGTTTAGGAAAACATAGGAGAGCTGTGAATACATGTCATCTGTCACCGCTGTGGTAAAAACAAAACTCTGGAAATATAAATAATTTTTTGTTTAAAGAACAAACAGAAAGCTGGTAACAAACCTTTATTTTCCACCAGGCAAAGGAGCGCTACCAGCAGGCCAGTGGAGGAGTGACTGAGAGGACCAGAGTCTTGGCAGTGGTCAGTGAACACTGATAACACTTTATAACTGAAACTGAAACTACTCCAGTGAAACAATGGCTCCATTCGATCCTTTTTGTACACAGATCTAGAAAAAAAAAAACTTGTGTTACAACTTGTTCTGTCTTTGGCAATAGAAAGTGATTAATGAATAAAAATAATAATAATAAATGCTTCTGAATCTTGTATATGGCACCTTTGTGGCACCACAGTATAAAACCTGTGTTTTTGTGTTTCAGATCAGTGAGGAGCTGGAGAAGGTGAAGCAGGAGATGGAGGAGAAAGGCAGCAGCATGTCTGATGGAGGTGAAACTGACTGAATCTCTGTCTGACTTTAGCTTTAGTTTGAAGAAACTCCACTGTCTTCATTCAGTACTGACCGTCACTGTCTGTGTTCATCCCTCAGCTCCGGTGGTGAAGATCAAGCAGAGTTTGACCAAATTGAAGCAGGAGATCGTTCAGATGGACGTGAGGATCGGTGTAGTCGAGCACACGCTGCTGCAGGCCAAACTCAAAGAGAAGTCCAACATGACGCGGGACATGCATGCCACTAATATCCCTGAGACTGCCGCCGGGCCCTTTGCTTAGGTTTTACCACAACGCCGGGCTTGAGCAGTTCATCGATTTGACTCTTTGTCCTTATTTTTGTATCATTTTGTGTATATGAATATGAAATAAATGTTGTTGTACAAAATGTCACTGAAGAGGCGTGGACTGCTCTGTGCATGGGAATTTATTAAACTATAATTTATATTTCTTCTTTTTAGGCAGTCTGTCCCATTTTTTCTTTGCTCAAGCTCCATTAGGTTCAATGGGGAGCGTCGGTGCACAGCCATTTTCAGATCTCGCCAGAGATGTTCAATCCAGTCTGAGGTCCAGAGCCCTCTGGAGCAGGTTGGGATGTCTCTGTACATTGCTAAATTCATCTTTCCCTCGATCCTGACTAGTCTCCCAGTTCCTGCCGCTGAAAAACATCCCCACAGCATGATGCTGCCACCACCAGGCTTCACTGTAGGGATGGTACCGGCCAGGTGATGAGTGGTGCCTGGTTTCCTCCAGACATGACGGTTGGCATTCACGCCAAAGAGTTCAGTCTGTGTTTCATCAGACCGGACCATGTTTGTTTCTCATGGTCTGAGAGTTCTTCAGGTGCCTTTTGGCAAACTCCAGGTGGGCTGTCATGTGCCTTTTACTAAGGAGTGGCTTCTTTCTGGCCACTCTACCATACAGGCCTGATTGGAAGAGTGCGGCAGAGATGGTCGTCCTTCTGGAAGGTTCTCCTCTCTCCACAGAGGAACCCTGGAGCTCTGTCAGAGTGACCATCGGGTTCTTGGTCCCTGACCCTTCTCCCCCGGGCGGCCAGCTCTAGGAAGAGTCCTGGTGGTTCCAAACTTCTTCCATTCATGGATGATGGGGGCCACTTTACTTATTGGGACCTTCAAAGCTGCAGAAATGTTTCTGTACCCTTCCCCAGATCTGTACCTTGATACAATCCTGTCTCAGACGGTCTACAAACAATTCCTTAGACTTCATGGCTTGGTTTGTGCTCTGTCAACTGTGTGACCTTTATATAGACAGGTGTGTGCTTTTCCAAATCATGTCCAGTCAACTGAATTTACCCAAGGTGGACTCCAATCAAGTTGTAGAAACATCTAGAGAATGATCATTGGAAATGGCATGCACCTGAGCTTAATCATTTTTTATTTTATATAAATTTGCAAAAAATTCAACAAAACTTTTTTCATGTTGTCATGTTGGGGTATTGTGTGTAGAATTTTGAGGGGAAAAAATTATTAAATTTTGGAATAAGGCTGTAACATAAAATGTGTAAAAAGTGAAGCGCTGTGAATACTTACGGATGCACTGTAAGTTGCAACATTTTGTGCTAAAATCAGAAAAAAAGTAAGAGGATCTGAATAGGTGGCCATATTGAATGCACTGTATGAGGGTACAGGGCAAAACCAAGTGTACAGTTTGGAGGGGAGTCAAGCTTGTGTTTGTTTTATAAATAAATTGAAAATAAAAAGGAAATAATGAGACACCCATTGACATTGCCATGACATGTCCCCCCCAAGACGCCCTAGATACAGGGCATAGGTCAGACGTACTGTCTATATGATTTATAGAACAGTAACAATAATGATATTAACAATATTAACTTTATTTCGTATGTTTTAGTGAAGTCCAATAAGTTACAGAACTCAGTGCAATAGATACAGGGCATAGGTCTCCACTGTCTGTCCAATTCATATAATAACAAAAATGATATTATTAATATTGACTTTATTTCATATGTGATTGCTGCAAGCAGTCTTTATTTTACTTACTATTCCTTCTGGTATCTTCAGATGTAAATTACAAACAGTTCTTGCTGGGACTCTTTGAGAAGCTGTGCCTGTGAGCAGCGGTAGTGGTGGCAGCAGGAGATGCAACAATCAAACAAATGTACTTCTTTACAATAGGTTACAAGTATTTCCATGTTGCTGAATTGTAACCTCTAGCTTAAAGCTCACGTTGCCAAATAATATTCACAACCTGAGAGCTGATGTGAATTATATTTATAAAGTGGAAACTGTTCTTTACCATCTTTCCCACATGCCCTGAAACACAAAAAGGAAGATGAAGATGGCTCAGTCTCAGCGATGAGAGTAGAGAGAGACATATATTTGTATATAAACTCAGATCTGTGATGAATATTAATGTCATATAATGAAAAAATGTTCAGTTTTCTGAACAGGAGGAAAGAGGCCTCAGAGTTTGAAGAGTTGACAATCTTACAGATCGTTTTTGCAGCGGCTAAAGTTTATGAAGATTGGGGGGGCTCTAGAACAAATTAGACTGTGTCTGAAATATTTTCCACTGCTACGCTGATGATGCTCTGCTTGTCGCTGTGGAAAACTGGAGTTTGCTCAAGTAACTAACTATAATAAATGAAATACAAGACATGAAGACAACAACAGCAGTCACTAATAGTAGAAACAGTTGTAGTAGTAGTGACAGTAGCAGTACAGTTTGAAGCAGTGTGTTGTTGCAGACACTAGAGGGCAGCAGAGTGAAGGTTTTATTCTTCACAGCAGCACAGAACAGATAGAAGTACTGTCATATAAACTGTAGTATGAGCTACAGCTTTAAAGTGAGGGCTTGAGTGTCAAAGTCTGTATATTCTCAAATTTTGTGTACTAATGACGTTCTTATTATTGTAATTGTGATGACAAAGGTCCCATAGCCTTAACAAAGTGATTATTTCCCTGAACCTAACCAAGTCTTGTTTGTAAGATCATAAAACAGATTTATTTGTCAGTGATTTGTGTCAGTTCCAAACAACGTATTTTGTCATTTCATTCGGAGGACTGGCCCCAACCTCTGCCTGAATACCACCTATTTCAAATACAAGGAGGTTTTTTACAGGCAGAAGCACAGCTGTGGTGGGTTCACCATTGTCTCTCATTGTGGCTGACCTCTACATGGAGGAAGTAGAGAGCAGCACCATAACCACTGCTTCACATATGAGGACCACAGCTGCATTTCAACTCTTCTGAACCCTTCGGTGGCTTTGTCTTTACAAACTTACCCTCTGAACTTTATTTTACATTCTAGTGGAGATTCCAAAGTTTACAAGAATACCAAATCTGTCAGTCGGATTATGGGGAAATGTGTCTAAAATGATGCAGCAGATACGTAGAAATGTTCCATTTGATGGAGTCTTGGGTTTGAATATTTCACTCAGTGAAACATCCTGTAGCTTTAATGAAGAGACTGAACAACAGAATCCACAATAAAGATGTGATACTGTGTGTGGAAAAGGTTTTATGTGTCCTAGAAATGAAATGATGAAATGAAATGACAGAAATGTAAGGGGACGTTTAAGGCTTCAAATCACAGTTGAGGAGTTTTGTGGATTTGTAGTTTTGTATTTTCATCCCAGCTGTTAAACAACAGATAACAGTCTGTGTTACTAAATTCACCACCAACCTGAATGTGTTTGTGCCAACAGGAATGCTTTTTCTATTTCTGCATCATCGTCACCCAGATTTTTCATCTGCTGTCAGATTCAAATCAAGACGAAGAAACTTCCACTGAATCAGTTCAGAGAAACAGTGAAGTCTGGAAAAAGAATCATCCAAAAAAGCCCAAATAATGAGAATAAAACAAGAAAATAGTGTCAATAAGAAATGAAAAGCACACAGCAGCTTCAGCCGAGCTGTCAATCAGCAGCGGCAGCCTTATCTGTCGGCCGCAGGGGCTGATGGGAGGTCTGAGGACCTGTTAGAAACCACGTGGCCCTCGTCTGATCTCACAGCTCGTCCTTGTTTGGCCTCAGCTGCATCAGAGCGCCACTTCTCCCCAGGTTCACCAGAGGAAACACCACTGCACAAAATGCTTTTCCTCCCAGCTGCTGCTCTGTGCTGTCTGTGTTCAGGTGAGTGTTTCCAGCCAATCAGGAGCCAACAAAGTCAACCTTTAACAAACACTGTCACACTAACCTTCATCTATCTGTCTGTTTCTCTACAGCGCTGGTTGCCATGGCAGCAGAGCTGAGTCAGGATCATTTAACATTGACCAAGAGAGTTGGTGAAACCGTCTCCTTCAGCTGTGGAGGAACTGACCAGTGTGACGGTGCTTATGTATACTGGTACCAGAAGAAAGACACAGAAACATTCAGACTGATTCTTGATATTCATAGGAGTAGTGGTAACATAGATTACAGGTACAAACATCCTCAGAAATATGATTTCTCAGCTGTGAATAAAGGGAACGGCTGTGAGTTGAAGATCCAGACAGTTAAACTCAGTCATTCAGCCACCTACTACTGCGCCTGTTATGTTCCCCACAGTGAGAAATGATCCCTGCAGCCTGAACAAAAACCAACAGATGTCAAACAGTGTGTGTGACAGGAAGAGAGCAGTAAACCACAGCCCAGGTTCACATATTTCACCTCCATCTCAGCCAGAGTCACAAACATACTGAACTGAGGGACTGATTTTCTTTCCTGCTGTCAGGATTGATTTCATATTCTATTGATTGATATTTTGATCAGATATTTCAGCAGGTTTATTGTTGTTCCACACAGTGAGGAGAAAGGATACAAACAGAAGCACAATGATGAAATCAAATCAAGAGAAAACAATAAAAGTACAAACTAAACAGAAACAGATGAAAAGTAAAAGTCATTTGTATAATAGAAGAACAAATTCCAAAGAAGATGTTTGAGATAAAGATTCAGATCCTCCTCTTTGTTCTGCTGCTGGATACCTACAGCGTCACATTTTGAAGCGGAGGGCCACTGACCGAGCTGCAGGATTTGACCACTTGGGAGTGAGACCGGGTTGCGCCTGCAGGAATCTCTCTACACCCCCTGGGACTCTGTGTTCAAAAAGAAATGATCAAATGAAATATTTGCTCAACAGAAAGCTAAAGCTTCATCCTGCACTATTTCCACAGAATCAATGCTCCACCGCTACACAGCAAGCTCGCCAAAATTACAGCCAATATTTCAGAAGAAAACACGAGTGCTTCTTACTCAAAGCGGCGCCAAAGTGTAGCTTAATATCTGAATAAACACAAAGAATGAACAGATTCACTGGATGGGTGTCACAATGTCTGCCTCAGTTGTGTTTATTGGTGTCCATTCTGCCTCTCTGTCTCTCTCTGCCTCAGGAACTGCTGATCCAGTTCTACACCGCCATCCTTCAGTCTGT